GTAGACAGCACATTTGATACTTTCATAAACGCACTTGCTGAAAGTCAATGGGAACTCGAACATCTCTTTATAATTGATAAAGAAGAGGGTAAATTATTGGTTGAAAAGCAACCCTAAATGACAAGTTCCAAAGAGCGGCGATTATTTTTATTGAAAGCGTATAAATAAATGAAATAATGTATTTCTCGGTTAATGCGTTATTTCTTGAAACTTGTGCGTGTATCTTTCAAAAAGTACATCATCCCGGATAATGGCTGAAAATTTATTAATTCTCAATCTTTTAACCCTTAAATGGATATACAGTAACTGGATATTAACTCGTTATGCAATTCTCTTTGACTTAAAAGTCGAGCCATGATTTTAAAGCATTGACGTGCAAATATAGAATTATTTCTCTAACGTTCTTTGATAGTCATAACCTATTATATAATAAAAATATAGCGTACGTTATCAGAAACACATCTCAATTTTTAAATTACTTATTACGTATACTAATCAATGATGTTACGTGCTATCTCACACTCAAAATAAGTTTCCGATAAAAAGATGGCTTTTTAATCTTAACTTCGCAATTGTATGTCTATACATTTAACATCAGGCTAAGTACATACACTTAATTTTTATCATTATCACATAAAAATTCGGATGGTAAATTAAAACACAGAACATATACGTTTTCAAAAAAAAAAAAGGATCTACTATTTTAAAAAGTAAATCATGCCAAAATAGAGCCTACGGTGACGTAAAGCACGTACTCGACGGTTGGAAAACTGGTTCGGCTTTGTACATTGTTCAAAGCTGTCGAAACTCGTGACGAAATAATTGGATCGCAGAATCTTTTGAGAATCAATCGACCTGGAATTGTTCCCTAGATCGGCATCCAAAAAGGGCTAAGGATAGTGAAACAAGAATACGGCGATTGTATTTTTTTCTTGTTTGCCTCCTTCCTACGATGAAAATTATCCTCATAATTTTGATATTTTCAATAGTCCGCTGCGATGCACTTTGTAACAAAAGATTCCTTTACCTTACGTATCATCAAGTTGTCTAGAAAGAATTTGATATTCATCTTTTTCCTTATATTTACAGATTCCCAGTGTGTTGGTCATCGCGGATATTCTTCTCATTATCCCGAGAACACGATGCTTTCTCTTGAGCAGGCAATTCTCCTAGGTGCAGACGGAATTGAATCTGACGTTCGCTTGACCAAGGATGGTCAAGTAATTATGATGCATGATACGACTTTGGATAGAACGACGAATGGTACGGGTCTCGTAGAAGAAAGAAATTGGAA